AGCAAGCAGTGTGCCCATGTGGACAAGAAGGCCAACGTCATCCTGCCCTGTATCAAAAATAGTGTGGCCACTGGAACAAGGGAAGTGATTGTCTCTTCACACGGTATTGGTGAGGCCACACCTTGAGTTCTGTATCTGGTTCTGGGCCCCTCACTACAAGAAAGACATTGAGGTGCTGGAGAGAATCCAGAGAAGGGCAATGAAGCTGGTGAAGGTTCTGGAGAGTAAGTCCAGTGAGGAGCAGCTGAGGGAGCTGGGGTTGTTTAGACTGCAGAAAAGGAGGCTCAGAGGTGACCCTAACACTCTCTACAACTACCTGGAAGGAGGTTGTAGCCAGGTGGGGATCATCAGTCTCTTCTCTCAGGCAACTAGTGACAGGACAAGAGGACATAGTCTCAAGCTGTTCCAGGGAAGGTTCAGGCTGCACATGAGGAAGAATTTCTTCATTGAAAGGGTGGTCAGGCATTGGAACAGGCTGCCCAGGAAGGTGGTGGAGTCACTGCCCCTGGAGGTGTTCAAGAAATGACTGGATGAGGCACTTAGAGCCTCTTGTTGATTGGTCAAAGGTTGGATTCAATGATCTTGGAGGTCTTTTCCAACCTTACTGATTCTGTGATTCTATTTTTGTGTTGGTCAGTAAGGGTACCAAGTCTTCTTTATGGCAGCTGCAAGTACATCTTTGCTCCAGGCTCAGACAAGTTTGTAAAGCTGCAGTTAATGGGTGAGGAGAGAAGTGAAGTTGTGGAGGAGGAAGCAGCAGCCTTCCACCAGCTGTGCCAGATGTGGCATGTCCCTCCTATGTCCCTCTCTGCATCCCAGGTCCTAGCTGCTTTCAGCCACACTGTGAATGACTGAGAGACCTCACTTAGACAGTGGTTTGTGGGAAAGGAACTGCCTTAAAATAGCTGTGGAAAACAAGACTCAGCTCTTCAGCTTCAGGAACCAGGACTTCCTAATGTGGCTAAAAACCATCTGAAAACCTCTTAATTTCTGTGGTTACCACAGCTGTTCCATCAAAGACACTTGCATAGAGGTCGTTCTCTCTGCCCTCCCATGTGCAGTGGTCTCTCCTTTGCTTTGATTGCACCACCACTGTCCTTCCTCAGGCGAGTTTGCAACACTTTCCTACCTAGACCACATCTCTCACTGAGAAGAGGAGTAATTGCAATGCAACCTTTTTGGATAAAGCATGGTAAATCTCAGGTTCATGACTGCTACATGTCTGGCATACATTATTTCAAGAATAAAGGTTATGGTGACATCGAGTCTATCGGAATGCAGATAACTCAAAATTAAAACATTTGGCATCTGTATGAAAGAGTATGTTCAGAAGCTACAGAAGGCCACAAAAGCAGAAAAGAATGGGAAATTAAAAGATTCACATTTTGTTTACAGTGCCAGGTCTGAGAATATCAAATATTTACAAATAACTCTTCCTTTTTCCCTATCCAGCTTCTCTGGAAGTACTGTAAACAGGGCTCTGAAAGAGCTGCAAAGGCAGAAAGGGCATCTCACTTTCATCATGTTCAAACAATGTTTCTATCTATTTTGTCTTGATAATAACCATCAAAACAATTTTTCAACTGAATATTGGGATTTTCTGTTTCAGACAATTTTCTGTAAGAGGGGTCTGCTTTATGAAGAAAATGTAGATTTTCTTTTTCCTTTTTTTTTTTTTTAATCAAAAGGAGTAAACCACTGAAGCACATGCCATGGATTGTTTAGGGAAGACCTCCCAAACTCTGGCTTGCAGAGGGAAGGGAAGGCTCTTCTTTCAGTGCTGCCTGTGTTCGTTTGTCACCTTGCTCATGGGGAGAAAGAGGATGGGATCTACCACCAACAGCTTCCAGCTGGCATTTCCAAACTGAACAGGCTAATTTTCTGTCCAGAATTTCACTGAAAAGTCAATGTATTTTGCATGGAAAAAATCTTTGTTTTAAACATGAAGGGGGAGGAAGCAGCCCCTTGGTGCTGTCAGGGTCAGTGATTCAGGCACATGTAATGGGCATATTCATCCATATTTAATTTTACATCCCCCAATTCTGTTCCTTTCTTGATAGCTGTCTACATCCCATCAGGCTCACAAGACACCCACCAGCTTGAACGAGTTTGATTTTTTTCCCCCAGATTACCAGAATTAACTATTTCTGAAAGCACTGACATGCAGTAGGCAGCAGAGGACACCTGCTTTAATTTGGTTCTTTATTTTGAGAAAGTCAGACAAACAAACAGCTCTATAATGAGACTTCAGGAGTCTTCCTCCGGCTTCATTCAATTTTCTGTACCACTGCACTACCTGCCTTTCTGTCCTGGAGGGACAGTCACATCTGCATTTCCCTCTGTCATCTGCATTTCTTTCTCTGGTGAGACAGGTTACTTTTCAATCAAAACCAAATTTCCATATGTTTTGTAAGTGACACTTCTAATTAAATCTTCCCTCATTTATATTCCCTGCTTCTCTTTGCATTTTAGGAAGCAGAGAAACCCAAGATGGTCTCTAATGGTATTTCATTTTTTCTGCTGTCAGAAACACTGCTGGTTTTCTTCAGCCAGAAAGTAAACCTTTTACAGAAACCCTTCATTTTGCCTGGTGGAAGTTGCTTTGCTGTTTTGCTTACAGAAACCCAACCAATTACCAAAGCTAACCATAACCATAGGGGCATTTGTGGGCAGGGCACTCAGGGCAAAAAATCCCATAAAAATAATTCAAAGTCAAAACAGATGTAGTGATTAAAAGATACACAAAGTAATTCTCCTTTAAATATTTTGAGCAAAGTATTTTTTGAATGGCACATCCCTGTATTAACCCAGTATACAGCTTTTTCCTCCAGACTTTTTATGCCCTACTCTCCCTATTTGGATTAAATTTTAACTAAATAGTCTCTTTGGATAACAGAGTTTCACAAGACCAACCGGGGACAGTTTCTGGAGCCATTTCTCCTTTACTGGCTTTACAGCTCTTGCATCAATCTATCATTTACCTTCTGCAGAAGAAGGAGGAAAGTGTGCTCAAAGCCTCCCTTCTGTGTTGGTCATGAAAACAAAATCATTTCCACATTAAATTGTTAGTTTGAATGTAATAAATTCTGGTGGTTTTGCCAATGAGAAAAAAACCACAGAGGCTGTGGAAATACTCTTTTTCACGGATGTCTCAGCTCTGATTGAATCTGCTTCAGACAGTTAAGCGTATAGATAAAAGATGCTGTTGTGCCATCAGCACTTACCCTGACATTTCCAAAGCAGTTGGACAAATTCACAGAGGAAAAATCCACTGAGACCACTAAAGGCAGAGGCACCAGCAGGTGCCACTGGCAGGCACCCAAGCCACAAGCTGTTGTCATCTGAAAAAGCACTGCTTTGCACTTGCTGGGTTTTTATTCTGCTACCTTGGCCAACAACTGTAGTCTGATCCAGCATAGCCACCTGCACATTTCAAAGGATTTTCAACTACTGTGGCTTCTGGTCAGTTCTGGAAAAACTTTCTAGAGAAGCAGGACCTTATCCCTCACCTTAACCTTGACTTCTGCTTTCAGGAGGGCTGGATTTTAATTTATGCACAACACACTGAACGATTATGGGACAGGGTTCCTTGTCCTTGGGAAAGGCAATCACAACAATCCTAGTACGGGTTGAGTCTCCAGGATATTGAAGCAGCTGTGCTCCTCCATCACAGGAGGAAGTCTCACAGCCAGCCTTCTGACACACCGGTCTTTGGTCCCCCACAGTATCTGTAATCCAAAGAGATGAGGTGGCCGCACCAATCCCTAATCCACTGGGATGATGTTTCCCATCACTCACATCTTCGTTGCTGCCTGGAACATTGCAGGTTATGGCACAGGACTGGGACTGGGGAGGAGCAAAATGGAGACAGGGACTGACCCACTGCCTGAAACATCTATCAAAGCCCCAAACACTTATTTGAGTTACTGTCAGATAGTTTAAGTTCTTGCCTAAAACATCAGTGTTCTGCTTTCAAAAGAAAGATGTAATGATTATTTTGTACTCCCGAGTTAAAATTCATATTTTTTGAATGCAGGGATGCAAAAAGGGGGATTCACAAAGACCTAATAGCAACAAATCCCTCTGAATGGGAAGAGGAATAAATATGCAAAAAGCAAATTATATCAGATTTGGAAAAGGTTAAAATAAGTATAAAATTCTTTAGGCTACTAATTACTGAGGTCAATTTCTGCCTTCCCCAGCAGCCAAATATCCTGGCCCCAGGGGCATCCCATTCCCAGGTTATGGTTACCCACTGTGGTGCACAAATCCTTTAGCATCTCTGCATTTCTCAACTCAGCTTTCCCAGCACCTTGCACCTCCCACATCACCCATCTACCACAGCACCAGCAAGCTCTGGGTTAACAACTCAAAGCCCAACTTTCTTCCAAATTCAAACTCCTCCAACCTTCTCTTTCTGGTCCAGCATGATAGCGACCCCAAATACCATTTTTCACTCTATTGTTTTTCCTGTAGCACTGCTGCCAGTTAATAAACACATCTCCTGGGTGTTTCTCCTGGTCATTGCCAGAGACAACCTGAACAACCACAGCCTGCCATTGCCTTTGAATAGAGGCTCCCAATTGACATTTGCAGGAATTAGAACCATCTGGAAATTACTTTTCTGAAGTCAAGTATGTCATTTAAAACAAAGCAAAACAAACATGCCCTGGAAAAAAAAAACAAAATACAAAACCAAAACAAAAAAACCAAAGCTATTTAAAATGAGACTTGCATTTTGTTTTGCCTTCAGGACAAAGAGCTTGCCCTGCATGAGGGTTTCCATGGCTTCTCCCTTCAGATGAACCCATTGAAGAGGCAGCTAATGAAGGTGGCCCTGTTCTTGTAAAGGGCAGATAAGACAGAGCCTGGATCTGACAGACCTCAGCATGGATGGCTTAATTACTAACAGATGTCCCTTTTACGGGAGAAATAGTTGCTACAAAAAAAAAAAATCTCTGACGAGATGCTGGTGGTATTTCCTAGCAGCCAACACTTACCTCCGTGCTGTGTGTGTATCTCCAGCAGGCAGCTGGGATCAATCCACAGAAGGCCAGAGCAAAACAGAAAAATCCCTGAGGATAAAGAGGAAAAATACCATTAGCTACAGTATGGGGAGAAAAATATCCATTAGAAAACACCATAAGGACATATTTAATATGCTTGTTTGAGCAAGTTTCATTAAAGTTTAAACATCACCTTCTTTTAATATCCCTCTTAATGCTGGTTACTTAAAAGAAATTAGATGGACAATAATGTGATTCTCCATCAGAAGTCCTCTAATTACACTATGGCCAATTGAAGAGGTCGACCAAAAATGCAGGCAGCTTCCTGTGGAGCAGTTAATCTATTCTGCCCAAATTCCTCTTGGAAAAAGAAAAGGGGGGAATAAAAACATTGTATTTTCAGTATGTTCCTCTTCTACAGGAGGACTGTGCCTCAGAATAGCATCTCCTTACTCATGGGATTCAATGCCCTGCATTTAAAACCTGGCTATTTGCTTCAAAGAGGGGGAAAGCCACACAAATAGTCCATAAAGAAGTGAGAAACCAGGACAGAGAGCAACCTGCTCTGGAAAAGGAGCTGGACTTTACTTGGTGATTAAGGTGGCAGCTGCATGGCCAAGCCTCCTTCTTTAAATCAGCACTACCCTAAGTTAGACAACAGGATGACAGAAATATAATCAAGGCCAGCAACTGACCCTGAAGTGGCTTAACAAAAATGGCAACAATGCAGGAGGTGACTTGACTTTTGTCTTCTTCCCCAGGCTTGCAGAGCTGGAAGTTACGTGCTTTGTCTCTTTATTTGAAAAAATATGGACTAAAAAAATCCAAACCCTCATGTAAACAGCACTTGCCTGCTGTGACAGCTGGACCAAAGGATCTTGTTCACATAAAAAAAAATATAAAAGGGAAGGAAAAAAGTGCCTGTGAAGCATTTGAAGTCTAAATGGGCTCATCAAATATGAATCCACAGCTTAGTCTTGGAATGACAAAAGATAGTGAATAAGTACCAGTAGAAAATTAATGGCCTTACAAAAGTTTCCGTGAAACTGTGCCTCTTCCAACACAACAGTATGTAGGAGGGGAAAATTACACAGCTCATTGCACCTTATTTTGATTTATAATTTTTTCTATGACTGTTTTCATTGCATGATACAGCTGAAACAGCTTGAAAAAGATTACATCTTACATGAAATTTTACCAAATTTAAGCTTAAGGAGAGGAAGAAAAGCATTGCTTCTATCAATTCTGCTTCACTAATAGAATTTTGCTTAAAAGGTATAGCTTTAAAAAAAAAAAAAAATATCCAAACTCATGCCTATGAAGCAAGAAAAGAAAATGTGTTACTTCAGTTCCTGGAAATGAAAGTGAATATGCCAGTAAACTGCCTTTTGCTGGTTCTTGTCCATCTGCTGTGTTCTCTGCCCTGTCCAGTGGTTTTGCTCCTGGAACACAACTGCCATTGGCATTTCACCACTATTTAGGGACCGCCCTGTTTCAGGCTCTGCATCAGGCACTTGGAAAAACCCTGTTACAGCTCTTACGAAAAATCTTAAATTATGTATGTCCAGTCTCTCCTTTATTTTATTTTTTTGGCAGCTGCCTGGACATATTGCTGATGAGATCACCCGTTGCCTTGCTAGGAGCTGAAATGAGATTACGGAACACCCTAAAAAAGAAAATGGGAGGAAAAGTTTGATCAAATGCTGACATGACAAGGGGAATACAAACAGTGAAGATGTGGAAGAGCTCACAGGGCAAGATGTCATAGACTAAAACCCAGATGGAGTGGGGGGTTCAACCCCTGCAGGTACAGCACAAACTGGAGGGAGGAGGTGAGGTTACACAGGCATTTCAGGTTGCTCCTCACTAGACCAGATCCTGCATTTTGCACTTCCTCCAACTTCCCCACCAAACAGTGTAACAAAGTCATCGTTTTAAGCAAAATTAAGTTCAAAGCCAAGAAAATAATTTTTAAAAAATTAAGCCAGATGAAAAAAAAATCAACACTAGTAATGTAGCAATGTGAGCGCTCCTCTGCACATTGTTCCATTGAGGTTATAATCGAGAGGACCCACCATGAACCTGGCAAGTGCAAACAACAGCGTGCCAGTGACACCACCCAGGTTTCTTCCCCCATGCTCTCCCTTCCTCCCCCCCAGCTCCAGCACTTATGACATATCTCTGGGGCTGGAACCCGCATCAGATTAAAATCCTCCTTTCTCATCCTCCCTTCCTCAGTTCCACCCTGCATTTCAGTCCTTCATGTTCAACGTCAGCTCTGCCTTTATTTCTCTCTGGTTTCTCTGGGAATACCAAGATGTGGCCCCTTGGGAAGCTCCCACTCCATCCAGCCAGTGCACAGCAATTACATGGCTCCAAGAACATCTTATAAATGAATTATAGCCTGCTTTTTCCCTTCCTAGCCAAAAGGCTTTTGGAAGAGCAACTTTCTAATTACATTAGAAGACATTTGGAGGAACAAAGAAAAAGGCAACATGCAGTTTGCATACTAAATGCAGAAGGGTCGAAGCTTGTTCACCATCTCCCAGACCCTTGGAGCTCCTTGGAGACAGCCATAGGCTGCTGCCTGTTCCCTTTGCGGGAGGCAGCCACATCAGCCCTGTGGAGGGCTGTCACCAGCCAGACATCCATTACTCTTTTATGAATGACCTTGTTTCCATCCTTGCTGCAAGGAACAATTTATCTTTGACAGACTTGGCAGAATCCACTGAAACAGCATCCTGTCTGTTGGCTGATGTTTCTTTTAATTCACCTTTCTGGTGCTTCCCCTTTGGCTAAGGGGGTCTGCTTCGGATGAGGGAGGGATCCTTTAGCTCAGACTGCTTTCGGTAGCTCTGCCAAACTCCCACACTCCCAGGGAAGGAGCTGACCTCTGCCCTGCTCATCTCTAGCTGCTTTTTGGCACTGCTGTGATCACTGCAAGGGCCAGCTCCCTGCCAGACTGCACAGGCCAGGGGCAGGGAAAGGGGAGCTAATTTCAGATTGCATCCATCAGGTTGTGCCCCTCCCTCCCTGACCCAGTTCATCTAAGAGCACACAGTGTTTTTGCCTTTCGACACAGCAAACAGGAGTCAGTGATCTCAGCCCGAAAGAGGAATCTGTCCTTGGCACCAGCTGAGCACGCAAATGTCTCACTCAGGAGTGTTGCACCATGAGGGACAGCACAGGAGGCAGATTAATTGCGAAAGATGCTGAAGTGCACTGCAGTGATGTAAGGACCCTACACACTTGCCTACAATGATACACCTGGGTACAGTAAAGCAAACAGCCTGTGCTGTGTGCTGACCCTACTGGCACATCACTTGATAAAAAACTGGGTTATACCGGGCATTCACTAAGGTTTTTTGCCACAGAAATTTTCTGGAGCAGCTGCTCCATCCTGAATACAAATTTTCCTCTAAACAAGTGGGGCTTTAGGCTGTAAAACTCAGAGTTAAGAATTTCAGCTGCAATGCTATGGTTTGCATATTGCTCCCCGCTTCTTTTGCGTTTTCCTTTCTCTGCCTGCCCAGGTAACAACACATGATTTCTTAAACCTCATCGGTGCCAGAGTCTTTCTTTTGTACAAGCAGTACTAGGAAAACTTCCTTCCTTTTCCTCCCCTTCAATAGTGTCACGGCCTCCAGGGGCTGTGAGAGCTGCAGGATATTTACATTCAGGACTGACTGCATGATGGACCACCAGAAAGCAGGGTTTGCCTGAGCTGGAGAACAGTCAGTAAAGCTGTTGCCATTCTGCCTGTTTAAGAGGAGCTTTAGGAATAATATTTCTGGATTATAGAACACAATCTTTTATCCTTAAGTTCTCAGTTACTTTCTTGAAACCAGCTTCCTTGCAAGCACCACTGGATGCACAGTAGCATCTGTCTGGTCTGGTGGTGCTGCTAATGAAGCTATAAGACAGTCTCCTGAGATACGTGTGCTTAAACCAGTTTGACCTGTTCTAGTTTCCAACCACTGTGCACCACTGGTTACTGTTATTAGAACAGCACCAGTAATGTCTGCAAAGACCTGAGACCCCTACTCTGTAAACACACAGACCTCCAGATAGCCAGGTAGCATGAACATCTATAATTCAAATAGACAAAAAAAAGTGCTCCTTTAAACCCATCTGCATCCTGCTTAGTTTTTCCCCTGGGTGGCTGGTTTACCAATGCCACTGTGGTGGATTAGCCACATTGATGGAGACATCCCCTGAGCGTGGCTTGGTTTCATGTAAAGCCACAGATGTCAGGCCAATAGCCTAGTGTCTTCCCTCTTTGATTAGTGCAAATTAAATGGTCTTCTAAATAAAACACACTCTTTGCAGGGAGGAAAAGTCCTTTAAAATCAATAGTGGGGGAAGCTGAAAGATCATCTCTATTGCAGAAGAGGGAAAATAGCAACAAGCAGCGGTGCTGCGAGCCACAGCCCAGCACGGATCGGCAGGGCTGGATGAGACACTGTCAAGAAGTTTTGGAGCCCCACAGGGCAGAACCCCACTCCTGCCTGCCATGACACATCACGGCAGCCGTCAGGGTTGGCTCTCCCTGCCTTTGCTTCTCGCAGGCAGATCAGATGTGCCTTGGGAGGGAGCAGGAACTGGGGGGGAAAACAAGCAGCAGGCTGGCCATTGGTGTAAGATACAGTTAGAAGGGGCGGGTTGGGGGCGAAGGCGATTCATAGAACAGGCAAAGTTCCCGTGTGTGATTTAAGATGCTGATGAGCCTCTTGAACGAACTGGAGCAGAGAATACGGTTCATGGTGGCCAGCTCTCGGGTATTTCCCAGGGTTTCCGTCAATTTGTGAGGGCTGGGGATGTGCCGGCGCTCCGCAGGGGTTACGGGGACTGCTCCCGTTGCCGGAGGGTTCCCCAGCACGGCGCGGTGCCAGCGGGAAGCGGCGGCCGGCGGGCCCGCGGCCCCCTCCAGCGGCGGAGCGCGGAGCTGGAGCGGCCCCTCGCTCGGGTATCGCCCTTCTCCTCCTGCCCGGAGGCTGGACACTGCTCCCCACGCTGCCGGAGACGGTGGAAACGGAGCTTAAAGGCAGCAAAGAACCTCCCCCGGTGAGAGCAGCGTGGGATGGTGCCCCGTGGCCAGAGCTGCGGGGAAGGCACGCTTCAACTATCGCTCCAGTAAATGGCTGTAATGTTAAACAGCCTGTTCTGTGCAGTGGCAAGGCCCGAACTATACCAGAGAGTAAGTCAACAAATAAACATTACAGAGGAGTTTGACTGTATTTTCAGGCAGCCATGACAATCTCCATGAATCTGTACATACCCATCTGTTGGTTTCGATGCGGTAATCGCAGGCACACATTAAATACACTTCAGCAAAAGAGAGGGGATGTAGACATACTCTGCTAGAGGTATTAATGGGAACTGTGTCACTCAGGCCCCTGTTAGCACCTCTAACAGAGAAAGGAAGATTGCATTTTGAGGAGGTGAAAATATTAACTTCAGTAGCTGCTTTGCACTGTATTTTAAGGTGTCAGCTTCTCATTTCTGCCACCAGCATAATTTTCCCCATTTACATAGATTAGATAAATCTCTTTAAAGTTAGTTTATGTATGATAGCAATGCAATTATTTTATATTAAGTACAACTTCATGCTCAACAGCCCACCTGTTAACTCCTGCCCTTCACTTAGCACAGGAAAGTATGCAGTGAGCAGTGCTTTTCCACTCATCCCTCCAGCTCTGAGGCTAGGAGCTGCTCTGTGCAGACTAAGCCACATGTGCAGGTCACATTTTTAAATGGAGCTGAGCTCACAATCCAGCTTACTACTGTTGACATGGTCTAGGCCCAAACATGCACTTTGCTGTGGATGAAGGGAGAGGAGAAAGGGGGAATTTCAGCTCTTGTGCTACCTCTCCACCCTCTCCTTGTAGGCTGAAACTGAGGGTTCAGCCCAAATCCCCCATGCCTGCTGCCATGCTTTGTATGTCTCACACCTGCACCACTGTGGTGGATGTTTGCAGTGTGAGAGAAAGAAGGGAGGCTAATTTTGCTGTCACAAGTCAGGAGAACAGTGTGGGACTCAAAATTGCACTGCAAAAGTTTGCCCACATAAACCATGTGTTGACTTGGTGAGGAAAGAAATACCCTGGAATTGTCATCACCACAGTGGCTTTGGCAAATAAGCACCTTCCCTCTGAAAGCCGCATACACAGGACCTTGGCAAAAGAAACAAGCTGCAGAAGGATGCAATCCCAGCCTGAAGAACTCTGCAAGGTCACGCTTTTACAAAAACGTCCCTTTGCAGCAGGGGGTGGAACAACAGGGCCTCCTTCCCCAGTAGTGCTTGCTCTCAGGCATAAGGCAAAACAGCCCCCAGCACCACACTTTTATGGCACCAGCCCAGGGTGACAAAGGTCCCCTCCCATCCAGTCCCTCTGGATACGCACCATGGCGGTGAGGCACTGCGATTCCCGCACCGTGGCGGCAGAGCTCAGCAGGGCTGCCAGGATCAGGGTCATGCTGAGGCAGATCCCAAAGTAGAAAGCTGGAAGGAAGTCAGACATGCGAGCTGCGGTCAGATGCTAACTGCTAGCAGAGGCTTAGTCTGATGCTTTCACCCAGAGAGGGGCCAAAAAGTGCATTTTGGGGAGCTGGCCCAAAATTACCAGGTGGCAGAACTGAATTTTTTTGGTAATTTATTCAATAACCCCCACCTGTGTATGTTTTCTTGTCTGGCAGGGCTGTAAGCCTCTGAGTGGTTCCCACAGCTCCAGCAGTGTGAAGCACCCTAAAAGGGTGTTGGGTCCACCCAACAGACCACAAGCTGCCAATTATATCAGCACTCTGATAAGGATCCCCCCGCATGGGGAGTGCAGCAGCTGTCCCATGGCCCCTATCGGGACTCCGGACGCTGCTAATCTGGTGCAACACTCGCCCTCCGGTTTCCTCCTGGCTAAGGCGGGATCACAGCCAGTACCCCAGGGCAGGGCTCAAGGACCACAGCGCTGCAAAGGGCTTTGCTATCCCAGCCATGCAGAGGTGATGCTTGCGAGCAAGGCAGGTGGAAGCATTGCTGAAGAGTGATGGCTGGGATGGGAGAGCCTGCAGGGCCACAGTCAGTGCCAGTATATAACTCCTGTGTGTGTAGAAGCAGGGGAGGATTGTACCTTAGCTTTGGACTAACGTAGTTTTTACACCTGCTTTGTTAAACTGAAACTGAGGACCAGGATCTAGAGAGGGTATGAGCATGTTTAAGCCCAGAGTACAGCCTGGAAGAAGCAGCAGATGCAAGTGCAGCACAGGTGAGCAGGGTATTTTAGTATGTGGGCTATCTTTGCTCTACCCTTGTACCTGACAGTTTATATTTCTCCATTGTGAAAGGGAAAATACCCCAGGTGTTTCCACACATTTCTCCTTCCAGCCTCAATTTTCTATGAGCTGCTTCAATTCCTTGAACAGTCTCTCTCCCCATGCTCCAAAGGCCCTGCCAGCCCTGCGCCTTTAGGTTGTCTGTGGTGGAGGAGCTCCCCCTGTGCTGAAAGCTCAGGGGGAGGACGGGGAGATGGTGAATAGAGGCACCAGAGGGAGGATGGAGAGATGGTGAATAGAGGCACAAGCGGAAATGCAGAAGTACCTGAGCACCCCGTGCTCCCACAGCACCCTCTGGTGCCTGGCATGAGGGTCTGATATAGGGGGAAAAAGTGCCTGTGGGATTGTGTTAGTCCTAATGCATCCTCCAAAACCCAGCCCCTTCCCCCTCTTGAGATACCTCTGCAATTCCTTCAACTGATTTAGAGAATTTTGCAGCTCCTGGTATCACAAGAGGTGTCATTGGGATGTGCCCACAACGTACCTCTGTAGTGGATGACCCTGTAGGAGTTGCCATCCAGGGAGATATCGCTGATGAGGGTGAAATGGAGCCCATAGTGGGTAACTGTGCTCAGCGTGGCAATGGATAGCCCCAGCAGCTGGAAAAGAAGGGTTTTAGGAAGGGATTTACAAGGCAGTAGCTCTTGTTGGGTGCACACAAAGCTTTCGGGTGTACCTGGATGTTCCTGAGCCCCATGCAAATGCAGACAGCCTGATCATCCAGAGACCACTACATGTACCCCAAAGTGCACATAAAAGGACAAACCCCAGACACTTAAAAATAATAAAGCTCTTCTTCTCTCTTGCATAATGAGTACATGTGATACTCTGCAGCCCACAGCCTCTTTGCCACTGTCAGTGGATTAAATTCCCACCACATGAAGAAACCACAGAGGATCAATGCTCTTGCAGCACACTGCATAGTCCCACCCCACTCTGCAGACTACACACATGCAGTTGTGAGGGCTGCCACCTTCAAGAGTGGTTTTGGGCAAGGATGATGTTCTTTGCTTTGCTCTTTGCAATGCGAGTCCCATTGCCTGCTGATGGTTCTATTTCTTATTGCAGAGTGCAAAGAGATGAGTCCTGTACTGTTCTATCTGTGCTGGCTTCTGTCTCTGCAACATGTTGCTGGCCTATCTGCTTCTGTCCCATCCCTGAAAGCACAGGTATGCCTATGGGGCAACTACTAGCACATCACCCTCCATGTTGCCCAGAGTAAGTCCAGGCGATGGAGAGGGAACATTTCTGATGGCACCCGGCTCTAGGTCAGGGCTCCTCACAGCATGAGTGTTGGCAGAGGCACCAACAGTGGGACAGTTAAAACCAGCTCCAAATTTAATGTACTGAACCTGTAAAATACAAAAGGTAAGCCCACTCCTAGGTCCTAAGATAAGACTTCATCTTTTTGTGCCTTTACAATAGGGAAACACAAGGCAGCTATACCTGTGACAAATGTGACAGTGTGATGTCACCGTAATCCCCTCTGTGTGACATTTTGTAATAACTTTTGGGGGAGACTGACAGTTTCGGAGAATAAGTACATCCAAACCATAGCATTTTGTCCAACCTAATTTGTGGCACCCTCTGACCCTTCATATTGTACATTACTGCATATCTTGACCCACGCCCAGCAAAATGCTAAGTGCAACACCAGTTAGCTCAGATTTCTGAGAAACAGCAGTCTAAAATCCTTCTAACAGCAATCAGGTGATTCTAACCATCCACAGTAGCTGTGCCTTAAAGGTTCCTCTAAACTTAATGCTTGTTACAAATACTCCTTTGATTTCTTCCAAATGACGTATATTGTCATTTGGAAGAGAGAACAACCTTACAGTCGCTGCAGCCAACAGTCTTGGAATGCTGAAATTTGGACAAACTGTGAATTTCATATGTGGCCCAAAATAAGATACTACCTTTTAATTACACTCTCTCCAAACCACCAACCCTCTTTGAGCTAAACACAGATTATTATTAGTCGTAGTGGTAGTATTAAGCTGGTAGGTTTTGATGAAGTGAAAAGGCAACAAGAACATACAAGTCAAAAACATCCAGGAGAAGTGCTCTCCAATTTCCACCATTTCCCATCAGCTCTAACAGCAGATGTCAAGAAACTCTCCTTAAATTTGCTTCAAAAGCTGATAAAAAGAATCCCTAGAATTGCTTTCGCTTTGTGGTGCCGATCCACAGGTCTCTCACCCACACTTCCATCAAAGCCTTGCAGTTTCCTCACTGACTCCACCTGCAGCCAACCACCCTCCCAGCAACAAGTGTGACTGCAGCAGGTCCATCCGCCCTCTTTTGCTCCAAGGAGACAGGAGCAAATATCTTTTTGCTGAAAACTGCCCATTTTGCCAGTAGGGACCTTTCCTTTCTCTTTCGAGGCACCTGCTGAGTTGTGAAAGAGCTGCAGTGGTGTGACAGCCCTGAGAAAGCAGAAGTCTATCAGTGGAGGGGGGGGCAATGCTGGTGGCCAGCGATAACCACCCAGAGCACAATGATAACGCAGGCAGTTGGCTTTGCTTGCCCTCTGCCCGCGAAAAACAGAACGTGGGAAAACCTGACCCTCTCTGAGCAGGGATGGGAAAGGCAACGGTTCATCTTGGTTCTGCAGAGATCCCCCCAAACCTGCCTGCTCACCATGACACAGAGGCTGGTCACCAGCAGCTGGCACTTGGTGGTCCTTATCCCGCACCTCAGTCCCATGGCAGCTTGTTCCCAGAGAGAGCTGCAGTTGGTCTCTCCAGCCCTTGATAAAGCCTGGGTTTCCACCAAAGGGAGGCATGACCACAGCGGGGCCTCTCAGGAAGCGCAGTCCCCACCACGTGCCGATGCACCTCCTCCTGCCTGATTAGTAAATCCTGTTTAGGGCAGTCACCTTCTGCACAGGCTCAGTCGGCTGCTGTCAGCTCCCACACACTCTTTCTCCCCAGCTGGGAAAGAAGGAAAGACGTACAGAAAAACAACCCTTCACGGAGTTTGGAGCATAGCTCCTTAAAAAAAAAATTTTTAAACTGTTCAATCAAGAGTCAGCATCAAAATACCCTGGTTTTAACTTTCAGTGGGATGCAGTTTTGCTTAATGAACATTGTCAGTAACTTTTTTTTTTAATAATCTGCATAAAAAGTATCTTGGGGAAAAAGTTTAGGAAAGTATTATTTAGAAAAAACCAAAACTGTTGTTTGAAGAAGAGATCAAATCCCCCAAACAGACCTGTGTAAGAGTCTTCTCTCTAAGTTTAAAACCACCACATGGCAATAACCTATGGCTGAGTCTCTATTAAAATTTTTATTTGCAGACACCACCTTTGGTACTATTTTATTCAAGAAAATGGCTATGTGTAAATACAACCCCCTGCTCAGGAGACCCTCACTGTCCATGGACATTATAACTCTGACCTTTCCCCTCTCCTATCACTGAAGACTCCATGGACCCACAGCTACGAAAGACTCAGGTGATTTCTGGTCTTCAAAACCAGCTGTCTCCTGAATGCATATTTCTTAAAAGTAAATCACAAAGAAGCCTCAAGAACAATCTGGCCAAAGTGAGCCTGAATGACTGAGTGCCTTAATCATCCTTTGCTGGAACAAGACTGGTTTTCAAGAAGGAACAAGACCTGTTTTCACCTGGAAAACAGGTGAAACAGAATAAAGAAAACTAGTTGCATTTCTCCCAGGAGGCAAAGAAAGAGGGTAAAAAAGTAAAACCATCCCACATTAGTTACTGCAGTTACAGGAAGATGACAAAGAAGCAGGAGAGGAGTGAAAAGAGGAAGGAAGATGCAGTCTGTAGAGCAAAGAGAAACAAGAGAAAGTGAGTTGCACAAAGCCATGTGTATGGGGAAAAGCAGTGTCATGATTTTCTGACCACATCACTAGCTTTCTTGCAAAATATCTTGGTTGCATCCTCTGAGACACCACTGAGATCTGCCATGGCTGTTGCCAGAAACAGGTGTCCCCATTACTCGCAGGTCCCTGCCCTAGGGGTTGGTGCTTGATGCCCAGCAGGAGAAACTGATGTACCCATGTGCAGACAGAGACCTTCCATCTCTGGCCACCAGCTGAAGACCACTTGAGAAAAACCTACAGATGGACAGCAGGGAAGGAGGGCAGTGGGAGAGGACAACAGGCTGGTGAGGTAGCTGATGCCCAGCCACTTCTGTTCAGGAGCAGGACCCCTGAGGACAGGCCAGGTGGGGAAAATGCCTTATAAAACACTGTCAGAGTTAGGACTGCATCTGAATGCAGAGCTGTGAGCACTCATCATTTGTTCTGGTTCTAGGGGACAGATGGTGGTGGTGTCACCTGCATTTTCAAGGGGAGGAATCACAGGTATAGAGGAAGCAGGGCTGGTCCACAGGTGGAGTTACAGGTTAAATCTGGAAGAGTTGCAAGAAGGTATGAGAACAGTTCCGTGCTGAACACCAGCTAGGGCAGCCCAACCACGAGCGACAGTGAGCAGATGTGTAACTGTCTCACCCGCCCTGAGCACACCCGGAGCCTGTTACACCGCCAGGGACGGGAGAAAAACCACGGAGCTCATCTTTTCTTCCCCCTAGACCCCAGTTCCTTCCCCAGTCCTAAATGCCGGCCACCGCAGCAAGACCTGTGAGAAGCGAGGTCTCACACTAGAGGTCCCCATAGGCCAGCAGAACCCCTTCCCGAACGTCGGGATGATCGACGTGGGCTTTTTAAAGGGTAGTTCCTCCCCAGTTGAACAAAGGTCTTCTCTGTCCCTTCAGGATCCTCACACCTCACAGCAGGTCCACCTGAGAGGTTACAAAATCGTCATCCACACCCTTTGGAAGGACTTCTAGTCTTTCCACAAAATATGTTCTACCTCCTTTTGTCTCCAGCCTTAAAACCGGTACCTTCCCTGATTCACAGAGCTCTGAAAACAGAGTAAACGTGCATTTCTAACATTAAAAAAATAACAAGAGTAAAAGGAGTTACTCCCTCACCCAAACAGAAAACCAAAAAGAAAGTCAGTCCCTCACCCAAAAAAAAACCAGGAGCATCAGCAGAGTTGGGATATTAAGAGATTGGGCTGTGACTGAGAGAAGTATGTTCGGTACATGGAAGGGCACTACTGAGAGGAGCATAGTGGCAGTCCATGTGCTCATCTTACCTGTGCCCATCAGAAAGGCAATCTGTACAACTTCCTTGTGGGATTAAACTTCCTCTGGGTGCCCTGTCACTGGAACATACCTGCCTCAGCAGCTCTCTGTCCAGGGAGCACTGGTGAGAAGCAGGGTGTCCCCCCCCCGCCTCACCCCAGTGGGAAGAGAGGCAGAACTGGTGGCATACTGAGGGACCACCCTCACAGTCAGCATGTAGGCTGGATGGCAGCATGGCTTTTCCAACAAGACTCGGCCTCCTGCCTGCCCTGCCCTGCCCTGCCAGGTTTTATCAGTTGGTCCGCTTTGCAAGAGCACAAGTTATCACTCTCAAATGGCGTGCAAAAGCCACAGGTGACCACAGCTTCTGCCTGTGGCTTCATCCCTTATCTCTGATTATCAGCTGGAGCATGGAAAGATGGTAGTGAGTCTGAAAATACCCCAGAGAGGACAGGTGCTCTCTCCTTCTAGCCTTGTGGCAGC